CTTATCAAGCAAGCATGAGGATGAGAGTTCAAATCCTCAGCACTCATGTAAAGCAGGATAGGGTGTTATGTCTGTAATCCCAGAGCTCCTACAGCAAGATATGAGGAAACAAGAGAACCCACTGTAGCTCACAGGCTAGATACTCTGGTACACTCTACAGAGAACAACAAGGAGACCCTGTCTCAAGCAAGACAGAAAGCTAGGATCAACATTCAAGGCTGTCCCGACCTTTATCTTGGTTCTGAGTTCATGGAGCTTCTGTTTATGTGTAAGGGATCTCAGGCACCGGATGATGCTCTTTGTCCTTCCCTGCGGTTCTCCTACCACTCAGTTGTCATTGTATTCATAGAGAATGCAACACAGGCATATTTAACTTGATGTTTGTTTTTCATGCAAATGTGATAAAATAAGACTGAAGGGCTCAGGTAAATGGATTAAGACTGCCTTTAAGACTCATATCTGGGTTTAGAAGAAACATAGTCCACTGTATAAATACCATCACAGAAAGAAGGGAAGGAATGTGGCAGAGGGGGAAGAATATGACGGATAGATAGAGGAAGGAGAGCAAAGAAAAAAGAACTGGCGAAAGAGGGAAAAAAGAAAGGAGGGAGGAAGGAGAGAAGAATGGAGAGAAATGAATTGGAAGAGGAAGGACCTGTCATGTGTAGGCATGGTAGCAATTTTCCCACACTCAGTCACTTCTCAAGCCTCATTTTAGGGGTCTTTTCTGAGACTGATTCTCCAACCAAGGACCATGAATGGAGATAACCTAGAACCCCTGTCTGACATAGCCCATAGCAGCTCAGTATCCAAGTGGGTTCTTTAGTAAGGGAACAGGGACTGTCTCTGACATGAACTCAGTGGCTGGCTTTTTGACCTTCCCCCTCCCTCCGTGGGATGAGCAGCCTAGCTAGGCCACAGAGGAGGACATTGCAGCCAGTCCTGATGAGACCTGATATGCTAGGATCAGATGGAAGGGGAGGAAGACCTCCCTATCAGTGGACTTAGAGAGGGGCAGAGAGGAGATGAGGGAGGGAGAGTGGGATTGGGAGGGAATGAGGGAGAGGGAGAGGGCTACAGCTGGGACACAAAGTAAATAAACTGTAATTAATATAAAAATAAAAATTTAATTTAAAAAATTTATTACAATTTATTTAATTTATATCCTAGCTGTAGCCTCCTCCCTTGCCCCCTCCCATCCCCACCATCCCTCCCTCTTCTTCTCCCATGTCCCTCCCCTAGTCCACTGATAGGGGAGGTCCTCCTCCCCTTCCACCTGACCCTAGCCTATCAGATCTCATCAAGACTGGCTGAATTGTCTTCCTCTGGGGCCTGGTAAGGCTGCTCCCCACTGTCAGGTGGGATGGGGAGGACCAGCCTCTGAGTTCATGTCAGAGACAGCCTCTGTTCCCCTTATCAGGGAAAACACATGAGAACTGAGCTGCCATGGGCTACATCTGAGCAGGGGTTCTAGGTTATATCCATACATGGTCTTTGGTTGGAGAATCAGCCTCAGAAAAGACCCCTGGGCCTAGATTTTTTGATTCTGTTGCTCTCCCTGTGCAGCTCCTGTCCCCTCCAAGTCTTTCACATTTCCCCTTCTTTCATAAGATTCCCTGAACTCTGCCCTAATTTTGGCTATGAGTCTCTACATCTGCTTTGATACCCTGCTGGGTAGAGTCTTTCAGAGGCCCTCTGTGGTAGGCTCCTGTCCTGTTCCCTGTTATCTCCCTCTTCTGATATCTGTCTTGTTTGCCTTTCTGAACAAGGACTGATCATCTTTTCTGGGGTTCTCCTTCTTGCTTAGTTTCTTTAGGTGTACAGATTTTAGTATGTTTATCCTATATTATATTTCTAATATCCACTTATGAGTGAGTATATACCATGTGAATCTTTCTGTTTCTGGATTACTCATGATGATCTTTTTTACTTCCCACCATTTGCCTGCAAATTTAATGATTTCCTTGTTTGTAATTGCTGAATAGTATTTAATTGTGTAAATGTACCACAATATTTCAATCCACCATTCCATTGAGGGACACTAAATCTGTCAGAAGAAAAAGTGGGCAAGAGCCTAGAGCTCATTGGCACAGGAGACAACTTCGTGAACATAACACCAGCAGCACAGGTTCTAAGATCAACAATCAATAAATGGGATCTCATGAAACCTAAAAGCTTCTGTAAAGCAAAGGACACTGTTGTCAGAACAAAATGACAGCCTACAGACTGGGAAAGGATCTTCCCCAGTCCTATATCTGACAGAGGACTAATATCCAGAATGTATAAAGAACTCAAGAAGATAAAAAGCAGCAAACCAAGTAATTCAATTTAAAAAATGAGGTACAGAGCTAAACAGAGAATTCTCAATAGAGGAATATCGAATGGCAGAGAAACACTTCAAAGAAATGTTCAGTGTCCTTAGGCATCAGGGAAATATAAATCAAATGACCCTAAGATTTCACCTTATACCCATAAGAATGGCTAAGATCAAAAACTCAAGTGACAACACTTGCTGGAGAGGATGTGGAGAAATGGGAACCCTCCTCCATTGCTGGTGGGAATGTAACCTTGTACAACCACTTTGGAAATCAATCTGGCGCTTTCTCAGATGATTAGGAATAGTGCTTCCTCAAGATCCAGCTATACCACTCCTAGGCATATATCCAAAAGAGGCTCAAGTACACAACAAGGACATTTGCTCAACCATGTTTGTAGTAGCTCTATTCATTAATAGCCAGAATCTGGAAACAACTCAATTCCTCATTTTGTTGCAGGCAATGGAGGTCATGGAAAGAAGGGAGCTCTTTATTTTTCTCAGGGTGCCAAGTTAGCAAGTCAGACTGGCTTGCTCTCAGAGACTGGGCCACTTGTAGTTAACAAAATGCCTTCTCAAGTAGGAGTGCAATAGTCAGTGTTTTTTTTTTTAAGAAAGGAATGAATGAATGAATGAATGAATGAATGAATGAATGAATGAATGAATGATGTGAAAGGGTTGTGCCAGTCAAGTAGAACTAAACCCCTTTGGAAGCATGTCTGGCAGAAGTGCATGGTTCTGTGAGGCTAAAACGAGGTAAGTGTCAGGAAGAGTGGAAAAATCATAGCTTAAATAAAAGAGACATAAAATCCATAATTTTGACCAGGAAATATCATACCCAATCAATCATGAAAATGGTTGAAGCAAAATCAATCATATTTCATTGATTTAAGAAAAAACAACACATTTTGAATCACATAAAAGTCACATTCTGTATTTGTCAAGAAAACTGAAGACTGTGAGTTAACTAGGCAGAAATAAGCTTTTCCTTGAAATAAGCAAATCATTTGCTAACATCTATATTAATGGAATACAAAAAAGATTAATGTTGAAAGAAAAGCAAGAATTTTTCTTGGTCAAACATGGTACTTAAGACTGTTTTATTTTTACCTTTTCTTAATACAATTTTCCATTTATTTTAAGTCATTGGAATTTGATTTTTCCTAGAACAGAGGATCCCATTTGGCTCATTGTTTTCTTAATTAATATGCAAGACACTATGAGTCTGTCCAGGTTAGTAATATTTTATTCTGTTTTACATTAGTTAGACTCATATCTCTTTCTAGACAAGAGTCCCTTCCACACTACTGAAGCTCCAGCACTGCATTTGCCATCTTCAGCTTTCAATCTGAGGGTCACTTTCTCCAGAAAAATCCTGCTGGGGCATGGGGCCTCTTCTGGGTCCTGTACTATTACATTTAAAGGCTTCTGTCAAAAATTTATAACTTCTGAACAACATGTCTCTAAACCACTACTGAACAATTAACTACTTGAGGGAAAAAAATTCTGCGTCAGTAATTACTGCTAATTATTTGTGTGAGCAGCATGCTAACTGATTGTTCCACTGAAGTTCAAAATATTTGTGAAAACAGTCAAAATAAACAGCAGACAGAGTGTTCTCATAGGCTGACACTCCAGGGTAAGAGTGTCATTCACTCTCTCAACTTGAGTCCTGCTTCGGTTTTCATTTCAGGTTTAAAGTTTAGCATCTTTTTTTTAAAAGCTCTTCTCTATTCACATAATCATATGCTGCATTACAGAAAGCCACATACTCTTCCAAACAGCTCAAGACTGACAGACCTAGTCTATGGTCAGCAAAAACGTAACACAGAGCCAACAAATTTGGAGATCAAACCATATACAAAAGTTTCTGTAGACTGAATCTAAGTTTGTTATTTCTTTGTTCTCAAAATCCCATGGAATTTATCCCTAAAAGCCTTCTGGACCATAAATAATAAGGAGAGCTAATATGAGAAACTATTTCAAGTTCTGGTGAAGCCGTTTGTCACTTCAGGTAAGACATTTCCCTTTTCAACTCAGGCTAATTATGAGATACATTATAGCCTGATGTTTTAGATACATGGTGGCTAATATTGTCAGCTTGACACAGATGGAAAGAGGGAACCTTAGTTGAAGAACTGCCTGTGTTAGAATGGCCTGCAGGACAGTTTTGATTACTCACTGATGTACGGGCCCTGCCCACTGTTGGCAATACCATCCCCTAGGCTGGTGGCCACTCTCTGGAAGGCAGCTGAACATGAACCTGGAAGCAGGCCTGTAAGCCGTGTCCTTCCGTGGCCTCCTGCCCTGAGTTTCCTCCATGATGAGCCTAGAAGTGTAAACTTAAATAAGCCCTTTCTTCCTCCCAGTTGCTTTTGAGCATGGTGGTTACTACCGCAACAGAAAAGTAAACGTAAACTAGAATAATAAAGGAACATCTCAGGAAACTCAAATGCATCCAGACACACTCAAGGGTTTGGAGAACGCCTACATTCAATTTTAAGGGTGAAACAATGTAGGCATTGTTTCTGGCACACAAGCCACAGTTAACGGTTCTCACCAATACATTATTAGCACCAAACAGCAGCTGAATTTCCAATCATTGATCGTCCACGGAGAAAAAATTTAATTGAACAAAGTCAGCATCATTTCACGACTCAAAACAGAACACATTTCTGTAACTTACCATATATTGGGATTTAATTCCAGTTGGTGGTAGGAGTCAAAGTCATCGCGGAGGATCACGCTGTCACTGTGTATTTCAGCTGAGAGAGAAAGGGAGCCTTTAGAGAGGAATTAGAGGACCGAGGGGATTTAGCTGAGTGTCAACATGCTGCATCTGTGAAGGCTACTCGTATTTTAAATTAAAACTGCCTTTTAAATACGTCGTTTTGTAACTGTAATTGCTCTGTCTGCTGATGCTGAGGGTGAAGGCTTTACTGTTTAGACATCTTGAAGTCTGAAGCCTGAACCCCCCAAAGCGAAACTATTGAATGGTCACAAGCAGGAAGGCCAAAGTGAAGAGAGGCCTCCCAGAGCTTGTCCACGTCTATGGAGACACAGGCTGGGCAAACCTGCACCTGCCCACTGAAGCCTGGAGCAGTGGCATGCTCTAGCTAGTTCTGGCTAGTCACTGTAGCCAAAATAGCTACCATTTACTCTTCTGACCCATTTTCCCTTGTCCTTTCTGTCAACCCTGTTGCTGCTGGTTTGAATTTTAGGATTCCCCACATTTACTCAGTATTCATCTAGTGCACCCTGAATTGCACTTTGTTTTCCATCAGAATGGCATGGAAAAAAATATCGGTAAATATAACTAATCGTCATGTATAACGGCAGAGTCAATTTAAAATTCAGGGAAATCTGCGATGCCAGCATATATAGTGGTTATTGTATCACCACCTTGCAGCTGTATTCAGCACCTACCAAAGCATTAGCATTTTGGGCATGCCAAAGATCAGTTTCAGACACTGTAGAGTGCCCACCTACTCGGAAAAGAGGGTTGGCAGAGACAAAAATGATGTCATGGTCAGCTACAATGTAAGTGTGTTCGAAGTGTGAAAAGAGAAATTAATTACTGCTTTAATAACATTCTCATCAGAGTTTTTGAGGCTTGCCCAGGAAATTTTGGATAATATGAATCCTCTGGGTTTGTTTTTTTCCTTACAATTTTGTTTGATCTAATTAGTTTTCAGAAAAATTAAAATCATGTCACTTGACTAACAGAGACCCTTAACAAGTTTTATATTTTTCAAATTCGATTATTTTCTGCTTTTTAGGGGCTTAGTCACGTCTTTCTCTGAACTCACTGGGTAATTAAAATCTCTTCCAGTATCAGGGAGGATGATTTCAGATTCTCTTTGGTGACCTCCCACCTGTGGCAGTCCGCACCCCCTGAATTCCAGGTATGCCAGCAGGCAAGCATATAATGAACCGTGGAAACCAGCAAGTCAGCACGGACTCAGGGGCCCTGACTGTTCCTCTATGAAGCCTGAGGCGTGAGAACAGGGAGACGGTAGCTATCCACTGGAGAGAAGCCAGTGGCAGACTCCGAGCGTGTGTGTGTGTGTGGGGGGGGTGATTTAATGATTCCTCTGAGCACTTGGATGCAGTGTCTGACATGCCTACAGGGTACAGCTCTCTGAGTTTGCAGCTTGGCCAAGACTCTGCTGCACTACTGCGGTCACCAGCCTGTCGCGGCTGCCAGGAGGCATGCTTCTAAGCAGTTGTGTTCATCTGCTAAGAGGAGCCCCGAGCTGTAGCATTACATAAAAGCAAGGCTTCTCAAGGCAGATTTTCCAAAGAGAAAAATAAATTAATTGGGTTTGTAGGTTGAAAGGAAAAGCCCAAGAGACAAATAATGGACCTATCTGAGGCCCCACTGTGAGGCGCCAGGAAGTACTGGGACCAGCTTAGACGATCCCTTTCGCTCTTATTAAACTGCAGAGGTTAGGGAATTGCTTTGCTGACACAACATGCTAAATTTAACCCTTCATGGTTACTTGTTTCCTAGAGACAACCCCTTCAGTGGGTAAAAACATTTTGTATCTATTTAACACCAGACATACCACACCTTTCACTGCATGGATTGAAATTTCATCTGCATACCAACCCAGCGAGTTAGGTACTGTTCTTGAGTCTGTTTCATATGCGGGCACAGGCAGGCTACCTGATCAACATCATAACGTCAAGCAAGCAGTGAAGAGATCAAAGTAGGCAGTTTGGCTTCAGGACCTGTGCCTTCAGCCATCCACAACCTCGCTATGAATAGCTGGGGCCAGAGTACATCGCGCCAATCACGCCATTAGGAAATCACAGTGACTTTTTAAAAAGTATGAAATCACTTAACAGCTTCCCCTTAATGTTAGAAGAAATGATTGAATGGCCTCTCTTTTGCAACCTAAGAATCTGAGCAGAAATCTTAAATTTAAAATGACTCGAGTTTATCCACACCCGTGGCTTTTGCCTCTGCACCCTGACATGACGGGCAGCAGAAACTCGGCCTTTGGACACTGACCAGGATTCTAAGAGGGTGCTGACATATGAGACTCTTTGAGGGGCAGTGCGGTGCCCCGGAGGCTCTCTGCTCCAGCACAGTCGATGAAGGCCAGCGACCCAGACAGCTGAGAGTTTCCACCTCACAGCGCGTGCTCACACAGCCAGGAGAGGATGGGGAGATTCTTAGACACTTACCGAGGTGTGAGTGAGCTGAGGCTTCTGTGGGAGCTGGGACAAAAGAAGAACAGAGAAGAAAAATGACTAAGTTGTGACAAAAGCAAAATCCAGTGACAAGCAATCACAAATGCAGCTACGGAACTTAGTTCATGCAAAATAAGTCACACAGCTAGGGACTTTTTGCTCTACAGGATTAAGAAGGAAAAAAAAAAGCCAACAAACATCCTAAAACAAGATGGCCAACTCACTGTTGATTATATTTAAAAGTCATGGATCCCCAGCCAATGGATGGTCTGTCATTTTACAGGCTTAGTACCCTGTAAGCTCACAATATAAATGCAGTGTGACAGCTGACAGATATGCCAAGAGCTCACCTATCTCAGAGGGTAATGGAAACAAAGGCCCAGCCTGCTCTCCACACCCCAAAAGAGGTCACTCTCAGGTGGGCACAACTGTAGTGGAGCGCCCTCTGTTCAGATGGTGCAGGGGTATGGCTGGGGGAGAAGAGAACGATCCTAAGGCCAGGCTAACTAGGGAACGGGAGTGCTTGGACAGGTTTATGAAGAAGACGCTTTCCCTGCTGAGTTTTCAAATACTAGCAGAGGACGGCAGGCAGAGATAAGAGAGGGAAAAATGGCCTGTGGAGGAGCCCACATACAGCATGACCTGGTGAAAATGTCAAGAAGAAGGGGTAGGAAGACGAAACGCTGGTGCATGGGATCATGGGACTGAAAGCGAAGGCCATTTGTGGGGTTGATCATGGTTACATGATGATCTTCTGAACATCTATGAGTGAAGGACGAAGGATGTGTGTTCAAATGCACATATCAAGGAGTGGAGGAAGAAGGATGGACACACAGGACCCTGCCCACATCACACTGTTGATGGTTATTTTTTCCCTGCCCTAGAATGATTTCCAAACTTGAGGAAAATGCCAATTTCCTACCAAAATGTGAGACTTCAAGACACATGCTCAACAAAAGTCTTTTCTAACTTTCAAAAATGAATTTCAACTAGATATGAAAAATCCATTTCTCCCACGAAGGGCAGTAGCTCAGATATGCCAGACTAAGAATCCAGAATGAATAGCATTTTAAAAAGAGACTGGCATGTACTGTACTGCTTCTGATTGACATGCAATGCATCGTGGACATACTTGCTTTAAAAAGCAGATTCTATGAAGAGTAACATCAGCAAGTTTATTAGAGCCGTCTGTGGAACTCTTATAAAGTGGAAGATAATATGCTTTAAGATTTTGTGTTTTGTGCTGATGCTTATTGGTTAAGTTGCAAGGGTCCCACGGTGGCTCGCTGAATTGTTAACTCTGAATGGTTTTCTTTAAAAAAAAAAAAAGGAACATTTGCCAAATAGCCAGGAATCAAAGACAGACTATGGCACACTGCGCATTCTCCATGGCACCATGTATGCATGGGCTTTGCAGGAAGGATCCAGCTAGTTGGAAAAGTCAAACTATCTGGCTCGAAACTTGAGTGTTTTTCTGGTGTCCTGGAGGGAGGGTCTCATTCTATAGTCCAAAGTGGCCTGGAGTGCCTATGTAGCCCACGGTGGCCTCAAACCTTACAGCAATCTCCCTGCCTCAGGCTTCAAATGTTAGGATTACAGGTTCCTGCTACGATGCCAGGCTTGAATTTGAAACTTCAGAACCAGAAATGTAGAGGGCTAGGGAGACAGCTCAGTGGGGAGGGTGCTTGCAGAACAGGCATGAGGGTCTGAATTAGGCTCCCCAGGGGCCATATAAAAAGCCAAATGTGGTGGTGCACATCTGTAATCCCATCACTAACAGAGGGGACAGGCAGACCTGAACAGCCAGTGCAGCTGAAACAGTGTGCTCCAGGTTCAAGGAGAGGCCCTATCTTAAAAAAGAGGATGAAGAGAGATGAAACAGACCTGATCTTTAAAAATAAGCTGAGTGACGAAGCCAGACAGCTGCTGTTGGCCTCTGGCCAACACGTAGTTGCACATACTATACACACAAAGACACACAAACAAAATAAACTAGAAATGTACAATGACTTTATGCATGATTTTAAGTTTTAAGTTCTGATATAATCTAAACTCTGCAAAACCTTAGAAAGCAATCGTAGCTTCTTCCTGTGACATTGTTTTTCAACTCATGTGTTATCACTACAAATTACATTAACAATACTAGGATGGTAAAAAAGAATCCATTTGTACACAGTTTTGAAATATACACATGCTTTGTATCAATGCTAGTTCAACTCTTCTGAAAAATGAACACATTTTGTCAATACGTATTCACATACTGAATATTCTGCTTTTGGGATACTCAATCTATTTTTAGAGTTTTAAGAAGTTAAGGATAGGCAGGCATGTGACTCTTAACTTAAAATGTATAAAATCTTAAATAAGTAAGATATATTCTAATACTTAATGCACTCCACATATAAAACATATGCCAGATTTTCAAGTCCAACGCAAGCAAAATAATGTAAAATGTCTTACTAATAATTTTATATTGTCTATTAAATTAAAATGTTTAATATTTTACATAATCTGTGTTAAATAGAAAAATTAACTATTTCATTTTTGTTTCTTACATGTGGCTACTACAGGATTTAAAATTACATGTAGGTTCACATTAAATTTCTACTAGACAAGGCTGAATTAGAGTTAGGAGGGAGCTCCTAACTGGATTTTCATTAGGGAATTCCTGCCACTCAAAAGGTGGGAAAGGAAACTGAGCCACTCAACACAGAGGGAAAAATCAAAACTTGCAGTTTGCTCAGATTGTTTTAAAGCTTGGGGCCACCAGAATCTTACACAATCACAGTTGCCCAGGCATGCTAGGAAAACGAGATTGTACTTCTCTGTACCTCTCTGACAACTGTGTTACCTTCCAATGGCTTATTTTTAGAAGAAAGCTTCTAAGTCAACATGTGACTTCAAAACACTGTAGCACTAATTTCTCAACTGATTGAGCAGAGCACTGAGACAATGAAGACCTCAATACAATGGGAAGAATAAAGATGTCTGAAATTGAGCTGTCTGTTGATATCACTGAGTGTTTAAGACCGTCTTTGAGTTAGGTAAGCAATCTCATTCTTTCTCTCTCTCTCTCTCTCTCTCTCTCTCTCTCTCTCTCTCTCTCATAGGCTACCAGAACTTTTCCTCTTAAATCATTTTGGAATTCAAAGGCCCTAGGTAGTTTTATCTCACGTATCTTTTCAGCTAATTTGAAATTCTAATGTATTAAATTTCCAAAGCTAAATATGACAAATTAGACATGGTCTGTGAAGTCAGTATTTAATGAGCTATGAACCAAGACTTTCATCTCCCCAGGAATAATTTCTTTATTACTTTTTGTGTTTTACTGCAATAAAGCACCATTTGACCTTCAAGTATGATAATTAAACTTCCAAAAATGTTATAAATTTAGAGTGAAAATAGTCCTCCCTGTATTCTGGAAATAGTTATGATCAATATAAAAGATTACTTAATATTTAAGGCAGCTGAATTATACACAGAAACCATCAGTATTAGCAATTATTTCTCTCTTCTCTCCCTCTCTCATTCTCCAGTTTGATTTGTGTTTTACAGCAGCTTATCCTCTTTCGTATCCTAAAATAAATTGAACAGGATCAGAACAAAAATATATCTTTATGACGTAGAAAACTCTTTCAGATTAGACTGGTTCTTTTATGAGCTATCAATAACAGGACCAAAGTGACTAAACCTTATGACTCATTGCCCTACACGCCCATGGACATATATTTTCGAGGAAACAGCCACATGCCTTTCAAAAAATTGGCCATGATATGAATAAAATTTTTGAGTAAAATCTAAGAACATAAAGTAATATCCCAGGAGTTGTTGGTAAATTATCTTAAAATGTTGCTATGTAACTTAAAAGTTCTTAACCTTTGAGAACTCAAAAAAACATAGTTTATTCATGGAGCATGTAAGAGTCCAAGAACATAAGATTAAGATTTAAACAAAATTCTGAAAGTGGAACCACCAGGAGGAAGACAAGGGAGAATGGAAGGAAGCAGAAGAGGAAGGGGACACGAAGGAGGCAGAAACAGGGAGAGCAGAGGCAAAGGGAAGCAGAGACAGTCTGGAGAGGGCCTTGAAAGCAAGACTAAGCTGGGAAGCTGGTGTCACAAGATTCCACCATTTCAAATGCAGTTTGTGCCAAAGAATAAGTGACTTGATGGAATAACTGAACCCAAAACATGGCAGTAGTTACGAAGAAATTTTAAAAAAGGCTGCGTCAACAGATACCGAGATTTGGCAAGGTTATTAAATGCACTGATGGAGGGACAGGAGTCAGTGAAACGTTGCTCCCATCTGGTAGTGGTTGGGGGAGCTTACTAAAGCTCACAACTGTAATAAAAAGAGGCAGAGTCACAGGAGAGCAGAGTGCAGGTTAGACCTGACCTGACGGTACTAAAATGTCACCTAAATTGCAGTCCCTGTGTCGGTTTACAAGGACGGCAGGACTCGGTGAGCATTAGGACCCATGGAGTCTTACCTCTGTGCATTTCTGGAAAGAGCTTGTAGACTGGGTTAATTTGGGTGGCAAGACCTAAGCTTGGTGTGCGTGGCCATTCTGGGGCTGAGCTCCCTAGACTACACAAAAAGAGAGAGAGCTGGACACTGCTCATCCATCTGTGTCCGCTTTGTGGTTATGAATACAACGCGAGCATCTGCGGCACGCTGCTTCCACCATCCTTTCCCCACCTCGATGGTGTGTAACCCCAAACTGTGACCAAAACCGAGCACATTCTTCCTCAAGCTTCTTCTGTCAGCTGGCTTGTCACAGGAGCAAAAAGTGACTAAAACATGCTTACAAGCCAGAATGATAACTAACACTGAGACAGCAGCCATGGTGCCGTTCAGGCTTCAGTGGCATTTCATCCCTTTGCTTTATTCCTTTTGGATAAAGACGGGAAGACCAGGCTCTTAGGAATGAGGTGGGGTGACTTGGAAAGTAAGCACAGTTCTTCCCATCGAGACTTACAAGGGTCTCACAGCCACACAGTATCTGAACAGAAATTCAGATGCAGAGA